TGGCATTGACATCAAATAAAGAAGTGTTTTCTTGTTATTCAGAATTTCTCAGAGTGCCATTGTTGACCAGTCTTGATCTCTATACTATCATGGACCATTTAGTTTTCTACGAAAGCGTGAGTTATAATATACTAGAACTAAAAATAAATAAATTTTCGAAGAGCTGCTCTCTATGTAAGGTGACATTTTATCAAAATTCGCTTTTTCTCAACTTTCTTTTTCTTCAATGCAACAGGTTTTGAGTCATTGTTGTCACATGCAAAAGAGAAATAAATGGTTCACTTTGTAGCACGGAGTTCACTCTACAACGTGGTATATAGTAAGATTTTTTATCGTTTGAACTTGGATAATTTTAATTAAAATATGAAAATAGGTAACAGGCAAAAATGCTATACAGACGCTGATTTTGAGCCCATGCAAGTATTTGCTTCTAGTTAACAGGCTTAACTCAAAAAATAATGGCAGAAATCTGAACAAACATTTTGTGTCAAGACTTTCGCGCCATAGGTTATATGAATTATTGAAGCTTGTGAATGTCGAAATGAAATCGGGTTACAGAACTTATTATAGTAGTAAAACAGTTTCTTATTCATTAACTACTTCATCAGATATAGACCTGTACTTAGCTATAGACCAAAATAAAACTAAGACTGACAGAAATATTGACCTATATAATTCAAATATGTATCAACAAAGTTTAACAAAAAAAAAAATTAATTTTTTCGAAAGTTGGTCATTTTCAACAAAATCGTTAGGTTGTATATCAAAACATAACGAACACTTTTTCACTCAACTAAAACATATACTTTTATCGACGATTAAACAAGATTTTTTCAAAGCAAAAATGAATTCATTCACTTACACCCCAACGTAAGTGAGATATGCATAGAGTACTGAGAAAGATCACTCATTATAATATAAATTGGTGAGTAAAAGAAAAAACTTTTAACCAGTCATGAAAAATTCAAAATTTCCATCAACAAAAAAAAATCTCCTAATCGAGCTGTTCGTGCTCATCTACAAAGGTTAACCCAACATTGTGGACTATAATTCATGTCTAATGTAGCAAATATTATTCTATAAAAAGAAGATTCTAATCAATTAGAGTCTAGCATAACAGCGATTGATTCTTTCTTTTTTGACATTAGTTATTAATGACGTTCTTTTCGTGTCTCTTCATTCAATAAATATCGTTAATTGAAAGCAAAAAAAAAAAACTAATAATATTAATTTGATGTTATTTATCTATCTATTCTACTAATAAAGATCATGTTGATTATCGAGTAGTTTAGTAATGAAAAGTCTTTGTAATATTTCGAAGTTATACTCCATATTGATAAAGGTTAAGTTTAATATTGATTTAACCAAAAAAATTTCTTCCCAAAGAATATTCTTTTGTGTATCTTGATAATTTATTTGATCAAATGATTGCGTTACATGGTTAAGGAGTGTCTACTGAAAAACGGAAATAACTTTTGAATGATTTTATTTTTTTTGTTTATACTGCATATTCTCATTTATAATAATCATGAAACATCTTTTTGTTTTTCCTGTCTTAATTCACTTTAATAACATCTTATTATAATATTATAAATATTTGTATTGAAATAGAACTATTCTTTTCATTGGATGTTTTATTAAACCAATGAATAAATTTAAAATGATTTAAAAGAGAAATCATCTGATCTATCAATATAGTAAATATAAATAGAATGATGTTGAGAAACCAAACAATTTCTATGACGTATGAAATAAATTTATTCAACTCATTTCGTCATTTTTTAAATATAAAGATGTCGAGTGAGTTTTAAAAAAAACTCTTGTTTTTCTTATTTTTACTCGTAGTTGTCAAAATAGAATGAATGAAATAATATGTAATGATGGAGTGATTTAAAAAGAAATCAACTTTTTTTGTTTAGATTGTTGCTAGGTTTCGGTATATTAGTTTTCGACAAAAAAAAAAAATATGTTTAAGATTTATGTCAGATAGAAAACAAATCTTATCTGCTGAAGAAAAAAAGAAATGTCAGATGAACTGAATCAATTATCAAATACTGATCCTGTTAATCAAACTTTACTCACAACTCAATCTCAAGTAATCTTTTCTTTTGATAAATTATTTAATAAAGGAAAAAAAAACTGATATGTTGTTTTTTTTTTTTTTTGTTCAAGAATGGATCAAAAGATCTGGCTGTATGTGTTGAAGGTGCATGGAAAAATTATGGTCATTGGTGGAAATCTATGACAGCTTTACATGATGTTACTCTTCATGTACCAACAGGATTTATGTAAATTATTTTATTTGAAATATTTTAATAATAAAAAATAAATTAAAATTTTAGATATGGTCTATTAGGTCCATCTGGATGTGGAAAAACAACATTATTAAGATGTATTGTTGGTCGTTTACAATTAAATCGTGGTGAAGCTATTGTACTTGGTCATAGACCTGGTAGTCGAGGACATCAAGTACCTGGCCGAGCTGTTGGTTATATGCCACAAGAAACAGCACTATATAGAGAATTTTCAATATCTGAAATGCTTCATTATTTTGGTCATCTTCATAATATGAGTAGAACAGATATATTATCACAAGAAGAATTTCTTCTTTCATTTCTTGATTTACCTTCACGTGGAAAAAAAATTGTTCAATTAAGGTTTAAATAAAAATTTCAATAATTAAATTTATTTATTTTGTTTTATTTTGTAAAGTGGTGGTCAACAACGTCGTGTATCATTAGCATGTGCTTTACTTCAACAACCACAATTATTATTACTTGATGAACCAACTGTTGGTCTCGATCCATTACTTAGAAAAAAGTTTCTATTAATATTTGAAATTTTTGTTTCAAAATTTTTCTTTTATATATTAATTAGACTTTGGGATCATCTTATTCATATATCAAAAACAAGTCGAACAACAATAATAATAACAACTCATTACATTGAAGAAGCAAGACAAGCTGATAGAGTAATTAAATATTGATTTTTTTCTTTTCTTTTTTTTTTAATTTCATAAAAAAATAAAATTTCATTTAGGTTGGTCTTATGCGAAATGGTCGAATGTTAGCTGAAGATGAACCATCACGTTTGTTGATTAAATATAATCAAACGGTTTGTTTGTTTATTTTGAATAAAATATGAAAAAAAGAAAATAATTTTTTTTTAATTAGAGTTTAGAAAGTGTTTTTCTTTATTTATGTGTTGAAGATCAAAAAAATGTTCTTAAAAATTCTACACATAGTATTAATCAAGATGTTCTAACTAATAGTGCTTCTAATGTTAATAATGAGAATGTACCTTCACTTGATGTAACAACTGGAGAAACTCCTCATTCAGAAATTCGTAGAAAAGAATTAGTAAAAAATCGTAAGTTTAATAAACAAAAAATAATTAAATATATATTTTTCTTTTTTTACTCAAGCTGTATTACGTGCAAAACGAGCTGCAGTAGATTGTTGTATATGTCCTCATATGCATAAAATTTATGCATTAATGATTAAAGATTTAACAATGATCAAAAGAAATATTGGGTAAATATTTTTATTTTATTACAATAAGATTTTTTTTTTCTTTTTTTGGTTTAGTTTTTTAATTTTTCAATTTTTAATACCTCTAATACAAATTTCACTTTTTTGTCTTTGTATTGGTCGTAAGTTTAATTTTTTTCATTTAACATTTTTCGTTTTTTTTTGAATAATATTTAGGTGATCCTCAACACATTCCAATGGCACTTTATAATAGTGAAGCAATCAATGGATTTCCAACAGGAAATTTAAGTTTACAACTTTTAAATAAAATAAATCCCGAACAAATTCATTTTGTACGAAAATTAATTATTCTTTTTAATTTATTTAATTTAATTATTTAAAGACGTCATTTAATGAATTGAATCAAGCTATTGCTGCTGTTAAACAAGGTCATTATTGGGGTGTCGCTGCTATTAGGTTTAATTTTTCCGAAGGAATCAGAAATAAGTCGGTGTTTTGTTTTCAAATTTGATTTTATTTGCATTTGATTTTTGTTTTTTATTAAAGATTAATTTCATTGAAAACAGATTCGGCAACATTAAACTCATCATCCATTCATCTTTATCTTGATATGACAAGTAAGTTAAGTTATAGAGTATCAAATCTAGACGAAAGTAACATACACAAACAAATTTAATGTTTTTATCATGAAAAAAAAAAAAAAAAACCTAATTTGAATCTAGTAACATGATATTTCTCATGTTTTCTACAATTAACACTTGACAAGAGTTAAATGATAGGATCATAATCGAGGGAGAGAAACAATTGAGATTTCAATCTTGAAGTTTTATAGAGTCTTTGAGCTTCAGCTTTTAATATAACATCTGAAGTCGTGTGAAGCCTGACCAAGTCTTGTAAAGTCCACTGTTTTCCCCTCGATTATACTCTTAGATCGCATTTTATTATCTATGTCAAGAAATCATTTATCATACTGATTATTTTAATTTATTTCTTTTTTTCTTGTTTTTTTTTTTACATAAAGATCAGCAAGTATCTTTTGTTATGCAAAATGTCATATTAAATAGTACTCAATTATTTTTAAAAGATGTTTTATCAAGTCATAAAGTTGATCCAGCATTAGCTGATCCACCTGTTATAATAGAAAATCCATTATATGGAGCAAAAGTTCAAAGATTTTTAAATTTTGCTGCACCAGGAATGATGATATCAATAATATTTTTTTTGGCAATTGGTTTAACAGCATTAATGTTTGTTGTTGAAAAAAAAGAAGGTCTATTAGAACGTAGTTGGATTGCTGGTGTAACAACAGTTGAAGTTATGCTTGCTCATGTTATTGTTAAATTTTTTATACAATTTATTCAAATTATTCTAATGGTTGTTTTTGCTGATGTTATTTTTCAAGTTTGTCTCATTTAAAAAAAAGAACTTTCTTTTTCCTTCATAAATTTGTTTTTGTAATTAAAGGTAACAATTCAAGGACCTGTTTTATTAGCAATGGCATTAATTTTTGTTCAAGGTATTTGTGGAATGAGTTATGGTAAAGAGAAAAACAAGTTACATGAAATGTAATATAGTCTTGTTTTTTTTTTCTTTTGTAAAGGTTTATTTATATCTGCTATGTGTGAACAAGAAGTTGAAGTAATGGAAGTAGCACTTGGAAGTGTTTTTCCTATATTACTTAGTTCAGGTTAATTACTTTTGAAAGACATATTTTCTTTTTGTAATTATCATTATTTACTTAGGTGTAATATGGCCATTAGAAGGCATGCCACCCGTCATGCGTTTTCTGAGTAATTTCACTCCATTAACACATGTTGTTGAATCAATGCGATGTATTGTTTCTCGAGGTATGTTAATTATTTTTCTTTTTTTCTATTTAAATATATTTTGTTGAATTTGTTTTTTTTCGATTTAATTTAGCATGGACAATAGTTTATTTTAAAGTATGGTTTGGATTTATCATTTCTGGTGCGTGGAGTTGTGGCTTTTTTACATTAGCTGCTATACTTTTTGCACTTCGGAAATAGACTCACTCTAGTCTTTGTACGGTTTTTCTTCTCGTTCTCTCTTTCTCACTTATCGTATTACTAAATTTAATTGAAATGAAACTTGGGTTATTATCATTCAATTTTTGCAAATTAGAAAGTATTTATAATAAATAAATAATGAAGCTGAACAAAATCTTATCTAAAATAAAAATTCTATTCATAGAAAAATGAAATCTAAAAGACATCAAGAAACATCAATGGTTCGAACTTGTTTAATCTAATGAGTGGATTTACTAGGAAAATAAATTACATCATATTATATTGTGTAGTAGCATATAAAATGCTATGAACATTTGATCAAGCTTTCTATGATTAATTCTATTTTAATATGCATGAAGTAAACTGTTTTATCTATAAATGAGTATGATTGTTTTCTGTACTGGTTGAATATCCATTGTTGAGTTGATCATCGCATATATATATATATTTATTCATATTAATCTTTAGTTTTGTAAAGAAACTTCTTAGAAATATTGAGAAGAAAAACAATACAAATATGTGAAAATTCTCAATTGAATATGCTTGAATGAAGATCAATTTGAATCTTTTCTTTTTCTGTTTAATATATTTTTATTTCATTTATTTCTTAATATTAAATGAAATCATATTTGAAAAGAATCTGTTGAATATTGGATGAAATATTTATTATACTAGCATAAAATTTAACATAATAAATGTTTTTGTTTTTGATTGAAATATATTCCAAAAAGAAGTATTGTTCATAAGTATCATAATAAAAAGGATAATTTACTAGGTAAGAAATGAGTTTTCCAGTCCCGTATGTAAAATTCAATTTTCTTCTTGAATTACAATAAAACAATTTTATATGTTAAAATTGATGTAATAAGAGATGTTAAATAATAATTTTAAAATAGAAAACTATCTACGAAGTATATATAATTATATGACGAATAATGACCTCTGTTGATATTAATTTATATTGGTTTAGAAATTGATCAGCAGACGATAGAGGAGTTACGATAATACAAAACAGATTAAAAGATTATATCCTTTTTTTTTTATTTGATTTGAAAATGAACAAAAATAAAACAGAAATGACTGATAGAACAATAAAAGTAAATCATATTAATCATTTAAATGAAAGACGGTAAATACAATAAAACAGTAAAATATTTTTTTAAAATAAAATAAAAATTTTTATTTAGAATAACATCTCGTATATGGACTATTCGTTCATATTTATTTTTATTATGTCTAATAGTTTTATCACAATCAATGATATCATCTGGTTATATTGGTTCAATTGTTTCATCATTAGAACGTTATTATGGTTTTTCTACTTCACGTTTAGGTGTTGCGTTTAGTAGTTACGATATAATGGGAGTTCTATCAATACCATTAATATCATATTTTGGTTCACAAAATAATCGACCACGAATAGTTGCATTTGGTGCTTTATTATTTGGAATTGGAAATATTTTATTTATTTTACCTTATTTTATAAATGGTTATGAAAAAGAAACAACAACAAATTTATCAAATCAAACAACAGATCATTTATGTCAATCAAATTCATCAAATCAAATAATTTATTCACGTGATCTTTGTTCACCATTATCAACATCTCAAATATTATCACATTTAACACCAAATTTAATTGATAAACACATATCAAATACATATGTAACACCAAAACCAGTATGGACTTATTATATACTTATATTATCAATGATAATTATGTCTATTGGTGCAAGTCCATTTTATACATTAGGAGTTACTTTTTTAACTGATCATCTTAATAAAGATGATCAAGCCATTTGTACAAGTATGTTTAAATATTACTTTTTTTTTAGAAAACAAAACGAAAATTTATCTTCTTGATTAATTTATTTAAAAGCAAAAAAAAAAAATGAAATCTTTTTTTCTGTTTAATTAGGTCAAAAACCCAAAAAAAAAATATTGAGGTAAAATAATAGAATAATTCAAATAAAAAAAAAAAAACAAACAGCATAATTAATAGCTGCTTTTTAACATTGCTTTAACACTTTAGGGTTCAGTTGTTCATTTTTGTTTTTTTGAATTAAAGTTCGTCTTTATGATAGATATGTTCATGTGGTTCATTTGAATGATGATGAACAGGTGGACGAAGACGAATAACTTCATAATCTTTAGTTAATTTTGTATTTATATCAATAGATTGTGCACAACGAAAAGATAAATTTTCTGCTGTATAATCAGGACGAAAACCTTTTCTTGCACTTGTTCTCACTTGAATATGATCGTTTTTAGTATCACCATCACGTGTATCAGCAAATGAACCACCTTTTACTGTATATCGTTGAGTAGTATCACTTTCATTATTATCATAATCTCGATATCTAAATAAATTAATAAAAAAAAAAAATAAAATAATTAGAAAATAAATATATAGCAAAATACTTAGTTAAAGTCCATTCCCATGTATTTCCTAACATATCATAAATTTCATATTTATTTTGTGAAGGAAAAGCATCAACAGGTGATAAATGATGATATCCATCTCGTAATTGATTTTCATATGGAAAATCTCCTTGCCATAGATTAGTTCGTTTTAATTGCCATAAATCTCCCCATGGATAAGCTGTTGAATCAAGACCACCACGTGCTGCATATTCCCATTCAATTTCAGTTGGAAGTCTCATACCTTTCCAAGAACAATATGCTTGTGCATCATTCCATGATATATGAGTTACAGGATATGATAAACGATTAGATATATCAATTAATTCACCTTCAGGACGATTCCAACGAATATTTTTAACAGCAATAAAACCTTCATCCTATATTAATTAGATTTTGAACAATTTTTTGTTTTTCAATCAAATATATAGAAAAAAAAAAAAGAAGCAAACTTCAGAAGTAACATTATCGATGGATTTCGTTGTTGAATTTCCTAAAATAAAACTAAATCCATTGATTTCTGCTTGAGTTCGATAACGAGTTTTATCTTGAGTATAACGACGAAAAGCAGCAACAGTTACTGGATATTGAAGTATTCTTTATTAAACAAATAGAATAATATTCGATAAGACAAAAAAAAAGTCAGAATTTTACCTAAATGATTTAACATGTGCTTGTTTAATTGGAAATTCCATATTAATTCCATGTCGATCATTAATACCCATTCTAAAACTTCCTCCTTGAAGTTCAACAAATGATTCTAAATGACGAAGTTTGTCCACTAATTCATCAATATGTTGACATTGAATGAATATTGGTAGAAACAACATAAAGATCCACATGATTAATACGTGTTTTTTTTCTTCTATTTGAACTAACGTTTTGTTGTCAAATATGAAGGCAAAAAAAAAGAAAGAAATGAATAATAAATGAATAAATAAAGAGTGGCATCAGCTGTTGTTTTAGGTATTCTATATGGAATGGTTGCATTAGGACCTGCTCTTGGCTTTTTAATGGGTTCTGCACTTCTTTCTCAATGGATAAATATTGGTCATAATGAAATTCCAAATGGAATAACAACAGATGATCCTCGTTGGATTGGTCGTTGGTGGGCCGGATTTCTTGTATCAGCATGTTCATTAACAATTTTATCATTTTTTCTTTGTACATTTCCTTCTAAATTACCACGAGATATTAATCAAATAGCTGAATCAGTAGATGTATCACAATCAACAAATTCAGTATGTGCTCTTGGTCAAGCTGCAACACGACGTCATACTTTACCTAAATTAACAAATCCAACACAATGTAAATCATTATGTCAAATATCAAAAATAAAAGGTTTATTCTTGATTATATCTTAGAAAAATAAATATCTATATTTGAATTTTATTTATAGATATTTTTACAAGTATAACTGATCTTTTAATGAATTTTACATATCTTTTAATTGTTTTGATTAATTCAGTTGAAAGTGTAAGTTGTTAAATAATTTCCATTAATAGATTTAATTAACGTATGAATATTTAAATATAGATCCTTGTTGTATCATTTACAACATTTATGGTAAAATATATTGAATCTGTATTTAATTTATCATCATCATTATCAAGTACATTAACTGGTTCAATTGTTGTTCCAGCAGCTGTATTTGGTACATTTACAGGTGGATATTTAGTTCGTCGTTTTCATATGGGTATTCTTCAATGTATAAAAATGATTTTAATGGCTTGTTTAATATCATGGTTTGGTTTAATTGCACTTTTATTTCTAAAATGTCAATCAACAACAATATATCAAGGTGACACACAATGTTCAAATTCATGTCATTGTGCATCTCATATATATGAACCAATTTGTTATCAAGAACAAATTACTTATCTTTCACCATGTCATGCTGGTTGTACATTTATTAATGGAACAGTAAGATATATTTGTTTTCTAATATAAAATAATTGAAATTTTGTTTCTTTTTTAAAGGATTATTCAAATTGTACATGTTTACCAAAAGGACAAAATGTTCGTTCAGGTTCATGTCAAAATAAATGTTTTACTGAAACATTTTTATTTTTATTAATATTATTTGTTGTGACATTTTTTCAAACATTAATGGCAACACCACAATTAATTATAATATTACGTTCAGTTCAACATGAACTTCAATCATTTGGTTTAGGTTTAGAAAATTGTATTATGAAAATTCTTGCTCAAATTCCTGCACCAATCTTATTTGGAATTATTATTGATAATCAATGTTTATTTTGGTCTCAAGCAACATGCGATCGTCGTGGATCTTGTTTTATATATAATGGAGATCGACTTCCATTAACATTATTTGGTACAGCAATTATTATTAAAGGAATTTCATTTTTTCTTTTAATTATTTTACTCATTGTAACAATAAGGCGACATAAAACACCGAATAATCCGTCTTCTTCTCATCCTTTTCCTCCTCCTTCAACATTACAATTTCAAGAACAAGAAAATCTTTTAATTATTTCAACTTCATAGTCAATCAAATTTTTTCAATTGGTGAATCTCATTATTTTATTCATTTAGAATTCTTTGTTTTTTTTTTTCTTTTGTTTTGTAATTATTTGAATTACATCTGATAAAGCTTTAAAATTATTTAAATAAATGTCTGTATAATATATTGATCTGATAAAAATTATTATTTATTAAATTTTTTGCAAAAAATTTCGTTAACATAATGTGATTAATCTTGTTAGAATTTACAAGAAGAAAGTGTCAATATTATGAAGATAAAAACATAAATATGTCGTAGTGTAAATAGACAGAGAATGTTATTAATTATGGGAAAATCATTTTCGACAATCAAACCATCCGTGCGCTTGTTGTTGTTGCTATTACTCTTCTTCTTCTTCTTCTTCTGCATGTTGTTATTCTACAAATATACGATCGCAATGGAAAAGCAAGGTGCTGAAAAAAAAAAAGGAAAACAGGAAGATTGACGTCAGAGAAAAAAGAGAAAAGAAGACGGGCAGTGCGGTGTTTTCAAGCGATTATGGAAAAAGAACGGCAAGTTTTCTTTTCTCTTTTCTCGACTACTTCTTCTAGTTGTTGACGGAATTCTTTTGGTCGATGACGTTCTACAGAAAATAAGAAATCTTACAAGTAGAAGAGAGAACACATTTGATGACAAGAATTGAAGATGGGTAAGTCACATCTTCATTAGATATTATTTTTATTTTTATTTTTTTTTTATCTTAAGATAATTATCTTATTTAAATTTTGTGTTCAATGGCTGAAGGACGTGATTCAACACTTGAGCGCAATTCAACAGGATATGATTATGATAATTATATATTATCAATGGTTGAAGATGGACAATCTACTGAAAATTCATCAGCTACTGATGATAATGTTAAAACAGATTATCGTTTATCATTACCATCATCTTCACAAATTCATACATATCGTCTAAATATTAATTCAACAATAAGTGAAAGTAGAAAAAAATTTTTATCACGTATTATAACAATCGTTGCCATATTTCTTCTTGTTGTTTGTATTTTACTTGTTACATTAACACTTCGTCTTGCACATAAAATTGATGAACTTGTTCGTCTTAAACAACTTATGCCAAAACCAAATACATTTTTACTTATATCAACAACAACAACGACAACAACACTAGCTACAACAACAACAACAGCAAATAATTCTATTCATAGACGACGAACACTATCTTCGTTTTTTACTTCTATTATTAATTAACAATTAGTTTAAAACAAAATCATAATAATAAAAGAACCAATTTTATCGTCCTTGTTTTCTCCTGACATCTTTCTCGTCTTATTTGACTTGTCAGTTCTTTATTCTAATCAAGTTCTTTTTCTTTTGTTGCTGCTGTTTTGACTGCCAGTAAAAGTTAATTTGTTTTTTTTTTTTCGTTCTTATCACATAGCATCTCGACATTACACTTCAGGTGATTATTACTCATTTTTTTTTTTCTAACTATGTCTATTAGATATACAAAATCTTCAAATAGTTTACAGTTAGATTCAAGTCCCATATCAACGACAACTAATATGGCTAGGCCATCTCAAAGTGATATAGAACAAATGATCCAACGAGCACGAGTAAGAATAACAAATTGAATATTTTTATAAAAGAAGTCTTTCAATTTCAAAGCCTACAAATCGTGATTTGGTTCGTCGAGATATTAATCAAGCTATTAACTCACAAGTAGCTTCTTTAGTGTTGAAAATTGCTCCATATTACTATAATAGTGGAATATCGAAAGATTTACTTTGTTTACATGGAACTGTAGCATGTCAATATAAAGGAAATCGATATAATATTCCTATTGAAATATGGTTTCAACAAGATCATCCAATCGTTCCGCCATTAGCTTATGTTAAACCAACAGCAGATATGTTTGTTTCAACAACAAGTAAAGATGTTCAACCTGATGGAACTATTATTATACCTTATGTTAGAAATTGGCGTCATGTAAAACATCAATTTATTTATTTTATTTTTAATTTTATTTAATTTTATTTTAGCCAAATAGTGATCTATATACTTTATTAAATGCAATGTGTGATGCATTTAGTCAATCACCGCCAGTATACTCGGGTTCAAGTATGGTTAGTCGTGGAACACCATATCCAACAACAGCATCATCAATGCCAACACCTATGGGAATGGGAATGACTACTGCTGGAAATCCATCATATTCATATCCATATGGATATCCACCAACACAAATTCCTCAAGATGTCTATCGAGATTCTGTTCAAACAGCTGTTATTGATAGAGTTCGAACTCGTTTAGATGAAACAATACAAATAGGAAAAGCACAAATTGATTCACTCAAAAAAGCTGAACAAGATTTAATTGATGGTGAGAAAAAAATTCAATTATTTATTAATGATGCACAACAACAACAAATTCAAGCACAAGTTTAGA